CCTATGGGTGACGTCACGCGACTTTAACGCGCCCGCAAAGCATCCCGGGAAGGCGGCGCTTCATTTGAAAAAATGCTGCGCGTCCAAAAGCTGGCCGATGCCCAGCTTTATGCAAATGAATTCCGTTGAACGCGACGCGACTATCCAATAGAAGCAGAGCATATGGAGACGGGGGGAAGTCTCTCGCAGGTCCTCTGTTCTAGACTGGCGCTGGCTCAAAACCACACCCATAGCGGTAAACTTGAGGAACGCCCATCAATGTACAAATGTGGGGAGGCGTCGCGACACCACGCTACAGTCGTGTCGCAAAAGTGGATCTCTACCGTCACGGTAGAGATCCACTTTTGCGACACGACTGTAGCGTGGTGTCGCGACGCCCGGCCTCCCCACATTTGTACATTGATGGGCGTTCCTCAAGTTTACCGCTATGAAGCGCCGCCTTCCCGGGATGCTTTGCGGGCGCGTTAAAGTCGCGTGACGTCACCCATAGGAATAAAGTCTATAATTATTGATGAAATTCTGATCATTTAAAAACCAATTCAGAATTTGTTCCTATTTATAGCAGGTATATGGATATACTTTTTTTTTAACTACCTGCATTTTTTGACCCAGAGATCACCACTGAGACTGAGAGTGTTGTTAAATCTGTCATAGGACTGGAGACCGGGATAGCTGCCCCCCCAACCCTAACCCTGGGCGTGCCGAATGGAGGCATGCCGAAAGTTGAATTGGTACAACCGAAACTAATCCCTAACCCTACCCCACACCCTGACAGACAGCTTTAGTGACCAATGATAAAGACCTTTCTCCACACCTCCTACCTTTCGGCAACCCCCAACCTTTCCTCATGGGCATATATAGGCAGGCAGACATAAGCCAGTAATTTGAAAAGTATACATTTTGGATTATCGTCTCTATTGCAGACAGTTATACGTTCGTGATGTATTTTCATGTGCTTTTAAGCCTTGCCATTGTAAACATTCAAGTGAATTTACTTGTCACTGTTCTGGCATACAGTTTTCTGTGTGCCTGTTACAATGCATGGATACTGAATTAAGTTATTTTTCATGGCTTACAGCTCAAATTGTCAAATACAATAACTCGTGAATATATGAGTTATTTCCTAATTAACAAGAACATTTGGAAGAAAATTGGATGTGTGAATATATTGGATCTGTGCACTAGATATTCCTGTGCCTAATATTCCTGCTGTTGTCTATGTTGCTAGGGTTGTCACGGTACCAAAATTTTAGTAGACTGTAGACCAGTAAAATGTTGCATTTCGCTGTACCAATTTTGGTTCCAGAGGAAAAACTGTTGAATGGAGTGCTTTAAAAAAATGTTGTCCCATTTAAATACAGTTGTCAGTCCAGAAACTTTGCTGTGTGCAGCATGAAAAACTAAACTTGTATTCAGATTGTGAATGGGTAATAAACAGAAATCAAGGGAAGAGCCTCCCTTTATAATCATTAAGGCTATCAATATCTAAAGCGCAAGCTTATGAATTCTGCACTCTCGCAAAATCCCGTTATAATAAAATCTGTCTTAATTGTACAATGAATCTCTTATTTACATCGTGTTTACATTTTGTTGGTTATAATGAAAGGATTCGTAAGTGTGTGGCTCGCTTTGAACAAAACAAAACCTTGTGCTTTTTTTGTGTGGTGTTAAGCAGATTCTGGCTGTTTCTCAATGTGTGAGAGAAACAATCTTGCGTCCTTGGGTTCTCGTACTACGTCATCAACCGTTGAAGTTTAATTCCAATACTCAAGTACACAAGTACAGAGGACTCATGAAAGTACCCAGATGTGTTCTTGATATCGAGGATGCATCGAATGCAGACTTGAGAGAATCGATCTGTTGATGTATGGAAGCCTGTAAGCTTTAAACTTCTCAATCTCACTTAAGAGATTCCCGCTGCCAAGCTCACAAATACGTGACTGTGTTTTATTTTACATTTGATTAAATTATTCAATTTTTTGTTGTATTTTTTTTTTAACCTAAATACAGATTTTTATCCCATTCTGCCTAAAAAAACTTGAATCACTAGGCCTATTTATTTCATGTGTATCTTTGTTCTGTTTTATTGTGTTTATTTAACCCGTTGTTAGTAACGTAACCTTTAATCTAGCAGAAATAATAAATTGTGATATATGCCATTATCGTGGAATAAAATAACTCATAATATTCTAGTCATATCAGCCACCCCTTTTCTGTCATGTATTTGTTTTAACTGTTGAACTACCTGCTACAGTAAGTTTAGATCGGTAGGTATTACATCATAGACAGAAAAGTGTGCTGCTATTGTTGGTGCAAGGTGCTAACGTGTTTGGTGTGGCTTCTAAGTTTAGAACTTCTGCTCTATTTCCGATCCATTCTGTTTCCCAGCTGCCATTGAGCTATCTCTAGATTTCATTCAGCCAACAGGATATGACATCATAGCACATGTTGTGAATGGGAATGCTGTGTAACAGGTCAACACACACACACACACACACACACACACACACACACACACACACACACACACTGCTCAAAGCAATGTTGTCATTCTTCAGACTTCAGAACAGTTCACCACAAAATTAAAATTGGCTGTTAATTACCCTCCGGCCATCCAAGATGTAGGTGACTTTTTTTCTTCAGTAGAACAGTAAATAAGATTTTTTTAGCTGAAACCGTGGTCCTTGGTGATTTTTTATAATGCAAGTCAATGGCTACTGTCACTGTGTCACATTGAGAGTCCAAAAACAAAACTTATACTCGTGGCCCCTGAAGATACATTGAGGTCTTATGAAGCAAAACGATCAGTCTGCAAGAAACTGAACATTATTTACGACATTATTATTACCTGTAATCCACAGCCTCTGCAAACGGTCCTGAGTGTGTTCACGGCAATCTGCAGCACAGGCTTTCTGTCGCATAATTAATTCTCATAATTAAAATATTAACATGTTTCAAATGTTAGAGATTGTGTGTGAGAGAGACATGTTTGGGTAAAAAACATCTCTCTCTCTCTCACTCACTCACTCACTCACTCACTCACTCACTCACTCACTCACCCTTTATCTGCTTCTTTAGTCTAGGGAGAATTGGGAAATCAGGGACCATTTTTTTTTTTCTCAAGGAGGTTATCACATTTCAGTTTTGGGAACGTCAGCCTGTTTGCAAATAGTACGTGTGACTGTGAGAGCCAAAAGTGACAGTTAATCAAGTAAGATTACTTCATGGTTGGCCCATGCTGTGAAACGAATCATTACATTCATACAGTCAGTGAGATATTCTTAATGCACACAAATGTTATTTTGACCTTTTTAAAATTTGATTATTCGTAAGGAAGAGTCTTGAGCCAGATGCTGTAGAGTCTCACACAGATGGACCACTGCAGCTGTGCTTTTTACAATTTGTTCAGCTTGTTTTTGTGACTTTTGCTTAGAGTTGTGCAACACAGTTTAGTGAAGATAGCTCTTACTTCCATGATAATTACAGTAGATATGTATATTTTTTTCTTTAAACATTTATTAACAGCTAAATGTAATAAAAAAATAAAAGTTTTGCCCTTTTTGCCTTTTATTTCATAAAACAGTGTAAGCAATAGGAGAAAAAAGGGGAACAGAATCGGGAAAGGACCTCGAGCGAGATTCAAACTTGCACAATTACTCCAACATCAAGTCACCATGAAATCAATATTGACAGTTCTTATCTTTTTATGGAATGTTGAAGTGTATATGATAAATTATTTATCTGTGGCTGTGCACATGTTCCCTTATAAATACTCTAAATGTTGAGTGGAGTATATTAGGCATTGCGTGACTAATTTGAGCATGTCCGCTCATTTGTCTGTCATAGTGTTCACTTTTTCCTGTACACGTCTCACATTTCCTTCCAGCATCTTCCTCTTACTACAGATAAAAATCCTAATTTCAGGTTGGGAAGTGCTTCTTTCACCTTGCAGCCCTGGATTTGAGGTGTTTACTGTGCGTGAGTGTTTTTGGAAGAAGCTATCAGTGACGTCAAGACTGTGCTAATGGAAAGAGGACATTTCCTGAGGCACAGGAAGGCTGTGCTCAGGTGAAGCCATGTGCTGGTGTGTTTGTGTCCTGACTCCTGATCCTGAATTAGTCTGTATTTCACTGAACATACTTGCCTGACATACCTCACTGTGGCTCTCTGTCTATTAAACAGGATTCATTTACATATGATGACGACTATCTGACCTCTATCAGGAGAGTGTGATGTTTAAGTCAGTCAGTGGGGGACGGGCTCGCCCTGCCAAGTCCTGATTCCCCCCAAACATGCTTCCCTTACTAATTTAAGATTTCTATATATAAAAAAGTTTTGTCACATTGGCTTGCTCGCTAGAGGTAAAACTGCTGAGTGGAACACTAGAATCAATGTAATTTAATCAAATCAAATTGTGTTTTAGTTGGTATGGTAGATGCCATACTTAATTTTACGCAAAATGAAATGTTGCTATGAGGTATAAAACACGAAACATTTGGAAATACATTTTCAGTGTGTCGTTTCCAATGTTTTTTTTTTTTGTATTTGCACAGCTGAAGATGGTAAAGTATTGCATTTATTTTGAAATAACTCTCTCCGTTTGTCGTTTGCTTTGAATTCAAATGAAAAAGAAAAAGAAATCCATTTACAAGTTGTTGAGCTTCTTGAGCAGTGTTTTATTTCATATCTTCTACTGCCACCTAGTGGTGAACACCTAGCATCAGTAACATTGGAGAAAGATTGAATGTTTTCATTTGCATTCCCTTACTTTATCAGAAAGGATATCTCAGTTTTAAAACTGTTTATTGTATTAGATAAGCTCAAAACTATTAAATATCAACGAAGCACTTCATATATCTTTTGACAATATTTTCAGATGTTCTGTTTAGTTATATACTATTTTGTATTTAGCATCAATGTAATGTAGCCTTCATGTTTTTTATATAGGCCTAATGTAATTTTGACACCGTTCTTTTATGTTCTCCTTGTTTTCCTGGAAGGTCTGTTTATGATGGACAGGAACATGGACTCTTCATGGAGAAACTGGAGGGGCGGATCCGCAACCACGACCGTGAAATTGAGAAGATGTGCAACCATCACTTCCAGGGCTTTGTGGACTCCATTACTGAGCTGCTCAAAGTGCGCGGGGAAGCCCAGAAACTCAAGGTGCAGAAAGAGGAGATGAGGGTTTGAGGAAAATCCAGAGTTCCTATATTGTTCAACAAATATACTTTCTGTTTAATCACTCAGATAATTGGTTGTCTTATCTTCCTCAGGGTCAGGTGACTGAGACCAATCAGAAGCTACAAAATGACGGCAAGGGGGTGCGTATCCTGTTTGCTTAGTTTAGTCTTTGATTCAGAACATGTAACATTAACAAGCATGACTGAAATCAGTGGTTACCTCCCCTATAGCTCCTGACGTCAATGGATGAATTGAGACAGTGCCGTCTGCAGCAGAGGAATATCGCCACCACCATTGACAAACTCACACACTGCTTACCAGGTAGAAACATCAGGCCTCTGCCTCTGAGCTTTTTCAATATTAAATATTTGCTGTATTTTCACTACATTCAACAGCTTGGGGTCAGTGAAAGTGAATATATTTATAACGTTACTAAAGATATATATTTCAAATAAATGCTGTTCTTTTGAACTTTCTATTCATCAAAAAATATCACGGTATACCAGATAATTTTAAGCAGCACAACCGTTTCCAACTGTGATAAGAAGAAATGTTTCCTAAGCACCAAATCAGCATGTTAGAATGATTTCTGAAGGAATGTGTGATACTGAAGACTGGAGTAATGGCTGCAGGATAGGACTGTATATATTAATATACATTTTTGAAAATATATTAAAACAGAAAACTGTTTAACAATATTATATTTGTACTGTATTTTTGATCAAATCAAATTTGATAAATAAAATGTTTTTTTATTTTTATTATATAAATCATACCCAACTGAAACTTTTGACCTGTAGTGTATGTTTTTTAAGTCCTTGGAAGCTCACATGCTGTGCTCTTGACTCTTTCCCCATAATTCCACATACTTTTTCCTTGCAGTGTTGGAGATGTACACCAAACTGCAGGAACAGATGAGGACTAAAAGGTATGAAGGTTATTCAGATGCCTTTTTTGTGCACATCAACAACACCAGATGAGCACTAGGTGGCAGTAGAGATAAACTTATTCAGATTGGGCTGAAATGCACAAGGACAGTCTAGTACCCACAATATTTTAACACCTTTACTTAAAGTACATTTGAGAACAGGACATTCTCAGCTGAGGAAGAGAGAGCAAGGTGTTGATGATTTAAACAGGCCCTTGATCACTGGACCACTGGAGTATCTCATCCAGCCAGATGTGACTGTGACCAGACAGAGAGAAAGAGAATTTTCAGATGTCTGAGATGTTCAAAGCAGCATTTGGCAGCTGTCAGGAGTCAGAGACACAGAGGACACATTTGGACTGGATTTTCTTAGCTTTAGCAGCTGCATACATTGACCCATCCCAAACCTCAACATTATCAGTCAATTTTGTTATTTATGGGATTTTTGTTTTTATAGTCAAGGACTGTACATCTGACAGGAAGGTGGAGGGAGAGAGGGGGAATTTGGTGAATATGATACAGGATTTTATCCTGCGTCCTCATGAGCACACAGCTCTTATATACAAGCACATCGCAACCCTCAGGGGGACGTAAAAGAGCTTCTGAAAAAGATTTGACAAAATATGATAGGACTGTTAAACTTAACTGTTAATAAAGTTAATACATTTACTCTAGTCACTCGCTGGCTATAAAAGATATACGCTTAATAAATAATATTTTCAGAAAAGGTTTATAATTTGCTTCAATACATTAATTGTATTTAATTTAAATTAATTTAGCATTGTTAAAATCTTTTTTTTTTTTATACAAAGAAAATATATAGCTGCCTTTATATTTTAGAAAGGGTGTTCCCTTACAATGGGATCATTATATTTGGGAGTCAAAATTGTGGAAACACCTGAAAAAGCCAGTCCACCTAAACTGCCACTCTAAACGTTTTTGAAGCATTGGTTTTGCTGTCTTGTCGTGTCCTCTGTGTGACCTGATGTTCGGCATGGGCCTGCAACTTTTTTTTGTTTTTTATTTATCTCTGCTCTCCGTGTTTCCCCATCTCTCTCGTGTGCGTGGTTTTGCCATTAGCCTGGAGGTAGCGGCAGGGTCGGCCAAGAGAGACTCTCTCCCCGGTGTCGGGTCTGCTGTGTAATGTTGCGTGACTGTGATGCTGTATTCAGAGAGTGTGTGTGTGTGTGTGTGCGATGAGCATAGCTCATCTCTGAGATCATCTTGATTGGGTTAAATTGTTATCATGCTGAGATCTAACTCTTTAACCAAAGGTTAAAACACGTACTGCATGTGCAAGGCTCAACAATAATAATGTCCTGGGGAGAGCTTTGAGAGTTTTGGGTCAGTTGACGGGACTGTCATTTGCCCTCCAGTTTGACATAAAAATAAAAAATGAAAAATGTTTAATGCATGTACGTATATACAAATGAAAAAAGCAATTATAAATAATATTAATCATTTATTAATTATACATTTTTTCCATATCATTTTTTTTTGTCACATTAAAAAAGTTGTCGCTTTGTGGTCATTGAAAATTATGACTTGGAAGTAAGAGTCTGAACTTCTGTCTCAAGTGGGCCAACAGACAAAAAACCTTATTGTTGAGCCCTGCATTTGTGCTCATTAATACTGGGAAGGTTTTTTGAAGTAGCATATATATGCAACATTTCCTGTATCCATCATTTCTGACCCTGTCGTATGCTACCCAGATACTATCCAGCTCTACGAACCCTGGAACAGTTGGAGGAGAGCTGTTTGCCTCAAGCGGGATCATATCGTTTCTGCACCATCATGGCAGAGAATATCCCACGCCTGCGCACGCACATCAGAGACGTCTCCATGTCTGACCTCAAAGACTTCCTGGAGAGCATCCGCAAGCATTCGGATAAGATCGGAGAGACTGCCATGAAACAGGTGTGTGTGCTTGTGTTTGAGAGAGCGCTCGTGTCTGAATAATGCCTGGAGGTGTGTCTGAACTATTTTTTGACAGCTGCCTCATGTGCTCACCTCTGACCTTATGGTCACAGCTGGGTTTCAACTTGAGGTCTCAGAAGGAAGGACAAAGGCCTTGTTCTTCGGTAGTTTAATGTGCTTTTTCCCCATTTTTCCTTTCATCTTATCTCTGACCATCTAGTCTGGAGGAAAAAGAGCTACCAATCTGTTCTGAATCAAAGATCATTTTAGGTCGCTTTTGTTTATGCCAGAGGAGTCTAGGAACACAGTGTATGGACGCTGCTTCAAGGACAGTGCACGGAGACACGGAGAAGACTCAGGGAACACATATGAGAGAAATTGAGTGGATTTTTCGTTGGAATGCAGAAAAGTCCTCTGCTTTCTTTTACAGTTATTAGACCAAGATGGGGTGAGGAGTGCATTAGAATATGAAACGCCAAGTAGACATTAAGATCTCCCAAGCACTATAAAATCTGGCCTCACTTTTTTCTCTTTTCTCTTTGACATATTTTTTCTTTGCTTTCTTCCTTGTTCTTTTTCACAGAGGAATAAAACTGGTCATAATAGATGATATTGGACGAAAGCTCCATTGGAGGTGGTTTCTAAGGCAGGCATCACTATTGCACATACTTGCTTGCCCATGCATACTACGTTTGGGTCTTTTCCGTATCAATAAGTATTCACATTTTCTTGCAACTCATCCTGCACCATTTGTGCTTAAGTAAAAACACAGACTTACAATGGAGAGCATATCTTGGTACCATTATATTATTGAGCAGTTGGCCAATTTAAAATAAGACAAAACAAGCATTACAATTACATTACAAGCTCAAACAACTTAAATCTAGATATTTCTTTTTAATTTACTACTTCAACTATTGTTAGTTTTTCTTCAATGGAAGATCCAGGATTCCCACTGTCTAGAAACACCTGGATATATGAGGTAACCTAATTTAACCTATAATAAATTGTTTATTTATTATAATTTTTTAAAATCCTTAATCCAGTAAATCACAAACAAAAGTCATGAGGCTTTTGAATGTTGTTAATGAAATTTTAAATATTGTACCTACCGCACATACAACATTCCTCATGGTACTACCGTATTGACGATACTACCATTTAAAATAATACAATGACATTGCCAGTATTTTGAAGCTCTAGTATCCCAATGCTACCCTAGTACCGGTATACCGTTCAGCCCTAGTTTTTAGGACAACTTGGAGTCAAAGTGGTTGAGAACCACTGTCATAGACATTTGGCCAGTAAGCAACCACCTAGAACATTCAACATCATTAAGGATAACTTTGCAGTCTTCAACATCACATTTTCTTCAGAAAGTTCTCCACTCTTCTCAGATCTGTTTCTGCTACTAATTAAGAAACAGTGGAGAGCAAAAGTAGCCAAAAAGATGTCACGGAAGGGTTCAAATATTCCTCCTTGAAAAAGGCCAAAGCCAGGCGTGTGTGTGTGCATGTGATGGTGTGCTATAACACGTTTTCTTTTTACTGTGTGAACATTTTTTAGAAAGTAACACTTTCAAGAACACAAATGTAGCGAAACTGCTAAATTAACATTTTTCAGTAGTACGAAGTTAGCCCAGCTTTTGAAAAATATTGGAAATTTGATCTATTCTTCTTTTTGTTCAGGCAGTTTAAGTTAAATGATTCCAGAAATGGTTCACCTATTTGAGTCGCTTTGCAGAAGTGTGACACTTAGGTCTTTTTTATAATCGAAATATTGAGTTAAATGCTGTTGATGTTTCCAGCTAAATTCTATAAGTTAGGACGCATTCTATTTTTAAAGCTGCAGTCCGGCATTTTTCCTCTTTGTCGCCATCTCTGTTCGAAATCTGCCATTGCAGTCATTCGCGGAATTATCAACTTTACGTGGGTTGTAGTTCAACACCCTCGACACGGCACAGCGCGGATGAACGCAGTGTTTGAGGAGAGTGTGCAGCTGTCAGTCACCGCGCCGATGTGGATATTGTCATTCAGAATCACAGATTATTCTTTTTGGAAGTAAGACCAACATAAGAATTTTCACCGGGAAATGTCATCTGAACTAGTAAGAAACATTCACTTTTGTTCTGGTTCTGACATTGCAGTAAATCGCGCTGATTAAATCTAACAATTGCTTATAAGTTATCATTTCACGCAAAACCGTGCAAAGTAGCTATACTATGTTCTCTAATTGTTAATGTTAACAACGTCAGCAAGCATTGCGTGACTACATCATGTAATGTCCTTCCGATATTATCCTTGTTTTCGCATGGGTCCGGTTGCAGTCTCTTTTTTTCTGTAGCCACTCCGAAGTCCGAACGAAGTCTTTTGCATGTTACAGCGGGTGAGTCTCTAGTTGTCACTGATGATGATCGTCGTTTGAACCTTTCTGGATCCGCCATCAAATTGATAAGTTTAATTATATCAAGTGCTGTGAGAAAAGGCTATAAATCTCCAACATCCTCCAACATCCTCACACGCAATATAGCTTATACTAGCCGAGACTCCTTCTTTATGTGTACAGATGTGACGTAATGACGCAAAGACATGCTCGAATCTCCCGCGGAAATCCACCAGTACCACTAAAATTAAAAACATTATTACAAGCTTACCGTTTTGCATCGAGCTAAGGCAAGCAGATAGTTTTGAACACTGGCTGGTTATGTATTTTATCAAATATGTATTTTGGATAATTTTTAACCCAAAAAAAGCTACGGACAGCAGCTTTAAGAAAAATGCAATTTTAAGATGCATTCTGTTCAAGTTAGTGTTCATTAACCCTCATTATTTTTTTGTGTGACAAGTATACACTTCAATATACTTTAAAAAAAAAAATGATTATTTATATAATCATGTAGTTTTATATTTAAAGATATATATTGTTTCCCCAGCTTCAATATAATTATGTATGTGGCTGCTTTTTTTTTTTCTGGGACTAGTTTTTCTGGGACTTCATTTACTTTTTCTCAAGAGGAGCTTTACTGTAATTTAATCACGTTCAGTTATGAGTAGCGTGTAGCTTGGAAAGCTAGAGTTTCAAAGTTACTTCAATAACATTGGTTTTTGGAAAGTTAATTCTGTCTCTGACGATGTTGAAGAAGAGAAGTTGGACAATGAAACAATATGTGTATTCATCCAGGTAGGCAGGACTGAGGTAGATGTGTATTCTACCAGCAGGGTTTAATGCATTCGCTGTGTGACATGAGCAAATGCATGTGGACACCATGAGTTGTAATCAGAGATACCCGTTTGTTCTGTTGCTGGTCTGCTTCCAGTTGCCCCAGCCCAGCCTTTCGTTCCACTTTGTCCCTTTTCCCCCTCTCCTCATCAGCCTGTGCCCTTGTCCATAGTTTGAACAAACTGTTGGCTCCTGAAGCTCCGGAACTTGGTGAGTTTCCACTGGTCCAATCTAAATGATGGGACTGTTTGGTTTGAACTCTCTGCTGGTCTACTTTCTGAGTCTGATCATCTGCTTTGTTTATCAAAGGGCATACACTTCTATTAGTTTGTGTCCTTCCTTTAGTACAATGTGTTATCATTCATTGGATTATTTTTAATTTAATGAATAACATTGTTACTCGTTGTTAACATTTATCCTTTTGTTCTATTTCTGTTTGGTAAGTATTATTACAGTAGCTTTATTTTTAGCATATTTTTGCATTTAAAAACAGGGACGTAAATATAGTTGTACCCTATATGAAGACATAAAGGTAGCAATGCATGCTCATGCTGTCATAAATAATTGTTGTATCTCAAATCACTCTCTTGTGCACTATCACAGTACACTACATAGGGAGCCCCATTTCTGTTAAGTGACACACCGTTTCTGCTTTTGACACACTGCACAGCCAATTCAGACATTTCATTTTACTTATCTGAGTGAAGTAAAATAGTTTCATGACCATGCAGAGCAATATAATAGATTTAGAGCAGTTGTCCTGAAAAGGGCTATACATAAAATAACTGTATATTCTTGCCAATAATTATCTTTATAAACATTCAAAATGTATATTACAAAAAACTTACTGACCCCAAACTTTTGAACTGTAGGGTATGTAGTTTAGGTTCAATTGGGAAAAACACTGGTATTTGTTGCAACTCTTCCACTAGCCCACCTCTTGGGCCTCTAGGTGATTGGCGTTTGAGACCTCCTGGTTTTGTGGGCCATCTGTATTCAGTATTGGGATTTATTGAAGGGATTGTGGGAGTAGAAAAGAAGGGAATCACGTAACAGGGTGAAGGGTAGATTGCACAAGATGAAGTCAAATTGGGAACAATCAGTGAATATCCCTCTTTTTATCCGTACATTTCTACTGACCGTAACGAAACCCCACAGAGGGCCATGTAGATGCGCAAATACGTTCTTGTGCCATTTTAAACCATTAACATAAGATTAATCCCAGTGTGTAATATTGGTTGGATGTAAGGTGGATGAGATTGCCAAACAGATAATGAAACACACTGGCTCATGTGATTTTGGTTATGTGTTTTCTTGGGTGCCTGTCCTACCCTTCCAGTGGCCTCTGGCATAGAACAGCAAATTGTACTGAACGGTGTTCAAACTCTTGAACCACACGATTTGCAGCATGCACAACCACCCAGGCAAATGCACACACACTTATGTCAACATCACCATGTGCTGTCCTAACCATGCGCGGCTGTTCGGGTTCAAAACGTGGTTAACTGCTTTTCCTCCCACCCTAGCGTCCTCTCATCTCCCATCATCTCCCATCACGAACTTCCATTTGACCCAGATTCTGCTCATGCTGATGCGATCCATGTCTGACCCAGTCTTGGCCACTGACTTCAGCTACTGCTTGAGTCTCTGAGATAAACCTTGATCTGGGGCACGGCTGGAGCTGATCTTCAGCGACTCCCTTTTAGGAACACACTGTTTGAATGAATCAATCTTCCCTGGAGCCTGGCTTCGTAACCCCAGGTTTATCTTCTAATAAAAAA